TACCACAAGAACAGTATGACGGAAACTGCTCCCACGAGTCAGTGATCTCCCACTGGGTTCCTCTCACAACACGTGGAAATTATGGGAGCTACAATTCAAGATGAGATTTGGGTGGGGACACAGCCAAACCGTATCAGACAGGGAAGGAAAAGACATGAGAAAGATGGACACGGAGGGCTCTGCCCCCACCGGCCCCCGTATGGCTCAGGCAATGGCCACACGGGTGCCCAAAATCTGGGTGGAGCAGTGGTTGACCAGCACACTAAACCAGCATCCACACACCAGAAGCAGGAAAGAGACAAAACATTTTCTGGAGTCCTGAGTGGGTGGGGCTGACTGTGGGGTCCAATCCACAACTACAACTACTGCTGATTTCCTCCAGTCTGGTGGCTAGGTATGCAGGGAGAGCTGCTGGTGGACCCAAGTGGACAGCAAGATTTTTTGGTGCTGACTGTTCTAGCCACTTCCTACCAAGGTAAAGAACATGGTCCAGGAATACGCTTGTGTCCATTTTATTCAACAAGTACACTGAGCATCTCCTAACGGCATGATGTTGAACACATTAGTCAGGCACAGCCCCACTCTCAGGAGCTCAGGATAGAGCGATGGGGAGGCAGGGGGAACACCATGAGGAAAATAGCATGCCAATAATTAATGACCATTAATTGATAAATAATGACAAATAGTTGATGTTTGGGGCAGTGAGAGACTATAACAGAAAACTTGGTATCACACAATAAGCTCAGCTCTTACAGGTGCCACTAGACTGCCACTGTGACACGTCATTCACTTCTGATCTCTCATTTTGTAGCAAACTTAAAATTCAAGATGAGATTCCCTAGACCCACCATGGTCACCACACTCCCTGGACTTTTCAGAACAGCTCTGATTTCAAGAATTCTGTTCCTTTGTTCTCATAAACCACATAAATGTCAATATTTTCAGCAACCAAACAATGTCTCCTAGATTGCCTTCTCTCAAATCCACTTGCACGCAAACCTTCCAGGGCTCCGGGTCCTGATTTGAGGTTTGGAAAATGTGTTGTGGGGGATTATACTGCTCAGCCACTACTGCCTCCTCCTCCCCTGACTCCCACCCCTTCTCTTTCCAGTCCCCCACCGTCCATCTCAGACAGTGCTTATGCAGGAAATGAAAAGCCGTTTGGAAATTAGAGTAAGCAAAACAGAATAAGCGAGACAGGTTGCAGTGTAGAGAGGTCTCATAATTCATTCTCGAGCCCAATGGAAAAAAAGTGTTTCTTTCCTGCCGTTTGTACAGATAATTGAGCATTTTCTGTTTCCTCACCCAGTACAGTCTGTCTTCAAAGGCTCTGGGTACACTGGAGGAGAGGAGTAAGTTGTAAGGGATGGAGTAATTGGGCGAATTAAGCCTGGAGGTAAAATTCTTTCTACCCGGAAGTGGCAGGACTCTGCGGAGGAGGCAGGCAGCATTTCACTGAGGTGGGTTTGGGCAGAGGTGTTTTGCTTTTGTTTTTCAAATAGGAAGAAAGATTTCTTTATTAATGGCAGTTGTAGAATAGACTTACAGTCCTCTAGGAAACCATCAGTGATCAGGATCATGGTTCAGGAGGATGACAGGTAACAGCTGTCATTTATTGAACACATACTACATGCCAGGCCCCAGGAAAGTGTTTTATATGGGCTGCCTCATTTAACCCTAACAGCCCTACAAAGCACGTACTGTTTCTAATGAGAAACTGAGAATTAAAAGAGATTAACATCTCATTCAAAATCACACTGCAGGTGAGTCAAGGAGCCAAGAGGTGAATCTCAAACCCCATCCCCAGTCCTCACTCTCAGACTCCGTCCTGTGCTGCGAAGGGCAGGGCCACGCCAAAGTTCAGTAACAGCTAGGTAAAGGGAAGCCTTTCCAGAAGAGACAAAGCCCTAGGCAGAATTGTAGAAAGGATGTAATCTAGCCTGGCAAAGGTCAAGAGGGAAGAAAAACGAAACAGAGACTGTGTACATCTCACAAGTAGTTGGTATTGTGTCAGAATCTCTACCAACACTCTTATTTAAGCCCGAAGACATGAGTTAGGTATAATGACTCCCATTTTACAGATGAGAAAACTGAGGCCACACCGTAATCTAAGATTAGAGTCAGTTTATGGAAGGACCAACCTCCTGACACTCATCCCCATATTCTGTTCAGGACTTCACTTAGCAAGCCAGCAAGGTAGGGAGAGTTCAGAAGGTTGGCAGGGAAGGATGGGCAGAAGCATCAAAAAAATTAAGTTAAAAATCAGCTCCAAAACACCTCCTCCAAGAAACCTACAAAAATTGGTATCTGGCTTGGTTTTCAGGGCACCTGAGAACCTTGAGCCTAACAGACCCTTTAACAAACACTTGTTGAATGAAACGTGTGACAAAGTGACTGGATGAATACATACCTACTTTAACGTCGCCTTTTTAAAATCCGGCGGTGTCTCTTGATTGGGGTCCCTCACCCATCTCTTTGGACCTGATTCTGTCTTGTCTCTCTCCGCCCACCTCTTATCTATCACCCTCGCTTTTCCTGCCTTCTCTCATTAGCGCTGGAAGGGAAAGGCGTCACTCCAATTCTCCGGCTGCCTCCTCACTGCTGTTGAGCTTCAGAGCACAGTATTTAAATCCTGTTAAATAACCTGTTTTCATGGGCAATCACAGCCAGGTTAGTAAATTCCCCACACGCTCACGCTTTAGACAAAACCGACATCCCAGGTCCACAGAAAATTGGCCATTGTCCTTTAATGGTGAAATTGAACTGAGCAAATGGTTGCACTTTAAAAGAAAGTTGTTGCCATTCACACAAAAAGTTCAGCCTACTGCTCTGGAAATTTCCAGTTCACGGCCCATTTCTCTCCAGGTATAAAGGAGAAAATAAATACCCTTGCAAGGCAAGTGATTAATTTCAGCCAGCATTTTTGAGGCCCCTGCTGATGGCTGGCTCTCGGGCACTTAATCGGTGGCCCTGGCCGGGTGGGGGGTCCCATCTCTGGGATTTCAAACTGGCAGCTTCTCTGCTTCCACGTGACTGCGAGGCACAGGAGGAATATGCCTCTTGTCATGCTCCAGAAGATGGAGAGGCAGTGAGCGGAAGAAGCTGGGAATTACTCATTTTTTTTTCATGAATCTAATGGGCTATGAACCTGGCTTCTGCCATGTTCTCCACCACCACCTGCACTCCTTTTTTAGGCACCACTGTGTGCGTGGCTGTACATTAAGAGGACTGTAGAGAGATGCCAAGAGGTGCATGAGGGTGTCTTTACTGGTGAAGGGATTCAGTAGCTTTATTATTATTATTGTTATTTTAGAGATGGAGTCTCAGTCTGTCAGCCAGGCTTGAGTGCATTGGCACCATCTTGGCTCACTGCAACCTCCGCCCCCTGGGTTCAAGTGATTCTCCTGTCTCAGCCTCCCAAGTAGCTGGGATTACAGGCGCCTACCACCGTGCCCGGCTAATTTCTTCTATTTTTAGTAGAGACGGGGTTTCACCGTCTTGGCCAGGCTCGTCTTGAACTCCTGACGTCGTGATCCACCCACCTGGGCCTCCAAAAGTGCTGGGATTACAGATGTGAACCACTGAGCCCGGCCAGTAGCTTTATTTGATCCTGAGGGTGGTTCATAAGATGCCTAGACTTCCTGCCTCTAGTAGATGGTTTAGATCCAAGCCTTTAGTTTTTAATTTAATTTTATTTATTTATTTAATTTATTTTATTTTTTTGAGGTGGAGTCTCGCCCTGTCACCCAGGCTGGAGTGCAATTGCACTATCTCAGCTCACCACAACCCTCATTTCCCAGGTTCAAACTTCTTCTGACTCAGTCTCCCGAATAGCTGGGATTACAGGCACGCCACCACACCCAGCTAATGTTTGTATATTTAGTAGAGACAGGGTCTCACTGTGTTGGCCAGGCTGGTCTTGAATTCCTGACCTTGTGATCCTCCCACGTCAGCCTCCCAAAGTGCTGGGATTACAGGTGTGAGCCACTGCACCCTGGCAAGCCTTTGGTTTTTACGTGGGCAGCGCCCAGAAATGGCACTCATTTTCTCCCATTTGCCCTAAACCAGTAACACCTTGTGAATCAGTCATCTACTGCTGCGTAACAAATAACCCCAGACTTGGTGTGGCCTCAAACAACAACCGTATACTCAGCCTTGATTCTGTGGGTTGCCAATTTACAGTGGGCTCAGCTGGTCTGAGATGTTCTACTGAGCTTCACTAGATCAGCTACATTCATCTGCACGACTGCTGGGTAGGCTGGAGGCTGTTTGGCCTAGCTGGGCCAGGGGCTAGTTCAGGCTTGTTCACAGGTGGTCTCATGGTTCCACGGTCAAGAGTGGAGGCTTCATGACCTTCAAGTGGACACATTGTCACTTCTACCAGCTTCTGTTGGCCAAAGCAAGACAAATGGCCAGTTCAGATTCAAGGGGTGGTGTAGTAGTTTGAACAGTGTCCCCCAAAAATGCATGTCCATCTGGAACCTCAGAATGTGACTTTCCTTGGAAATAGGGTCTTTGCAGATGTAATTAAATTAGGGATCTCCAGGTGCAAACATCCTAGATTTAGAGTGGGCCACAAATCCAATGACTGGCATCCTTGTAAGAAGAGAAGAAGACACAGAGACAGAGAGACACAGTGAGAAAGACACACAAAGTCAGAGGCAGAGATTGGAGCAATGGAGCTGCAAGCCAAGGAAGGCCAAGGATTGACACCAGGAGAGAGACCTGGAGTGGATTCTCCCCTAGAGCCTTCAGAGAGAGCATGGCCCTGCCAAAAACTTTACTTTGGACTTATTCTGTTGTTTCAGCCACCTGCTTTATGGCAATTTGCTACAGCAGCCCTAGAAAGCTAGTACGGGAGGGAAATAGATTCCAGCTCTTGATGGGGGAAGATGCAAAGTCACATTGCAAAGGATGAGAATACAGGAAGGCAGGGGGAAGTAGAGCCTCTTTTGCAATCTTGCACCTTGGTTTACCAGTCCCCACTTTGTTCCTGGCAGGTGTCTTAAAACCGAAGAGCACCACAGAATGCCAGACACCAGACACTCACCACACGCGGTGGGTGCTATTTCTGCACCAGGCTCCAGAGAGTGCGTTCCTGGGTGCTGACGCTCCTACAGCTGCCTCCTCTGCAACAGCCTCTCTTCCCTGTACAGATTCCTCACCACATCCAGCCAAATCGCCTTCATCCCAGCAGAGGCTGCAGAAGGCAGACGGCCAGGAGACTGGGGCCGTCAATGCACTGGGTACAGCAGTAATCCTCTAGGGTCTTCAACGCCTTAGGTCCTAGTGGCCTGGGATGACCTGACCCCAGACACCCTCCCCAGAAGCAAGTCCATCCCCAGTGTGCAGGAAGGAATACACCTTTGGGTTGACTAAAACGTCATGCTGGAAAGGAAGTTTGACAGAGGAAGGTCATTCTCATTCCACAGGCACCTCAAAGACAGGGGTTTCTCTCTTGGGTGTCGGGCTGTAGCTTCCATAAAGTTTTCAGCATGTTTTCTGAATACCCACCTGGCATCGATGCTTGGAGGTGCAAAGTGGGTTGGATGACTGAATCCTGCCCTTGAGAGCTGACACTGTCACCAAAGTTGTTGAGATGGGCTGGAGTCGCCCACTGAGCACTCAGTGACTGGTACGCCAAAGACCAAGGCCTCATAGTGGACACCATGATGAAAACAACGTACAGTTAGATGGGAGGAAAACATTCTGCTCTTCTCTGGCACAGAAGGGTGGCTATTTTTAATACTAATGTATGGCATATTTCAAAATAGCTGGAAGAGAGGACTTGGAATGTGCTCACCACAAAGACATGACAAGTATTGGAGGTGATGAATTTGCTAATTACCCTGATTTGATCCTTACACAAGCTATACATGTGTGGACACATCAGACTCTACCCCATAAATATATACAATTATATGTTCATTTTAAAAGATGGAAATGATGCAAATGTCCATCAGCTGGCGAATGGGTAAACGGAGTGTGTGTGTCTGTATAATGGGATTGCATTTGTCCATGTAAAGGAAGGAAGTGCTGATACACGCCACAGCATGTGTTGGTGGACTGCTCAGGCCCCCTGCACACCTTGCGTCCAGGCTTCCTCTTGCAGGACCAGGATCTTCCCTGCTCCTTCCACATTCCTGAAGAGTCACCCTGCGTCAGGCAGTGGATCACAGTGGCAGAGTGATGAGCTTGATAGACAAGAAGCAGCCTTCAGGGAGCTTTCACACAGTAGGGGAAATGGATGAATAACCAACACCACCTACTTACAGCTTGCGAAGGTGCCAAAAAGAAACCAGAAAGGTGCCCTGGGAGAGGGGGAGCTGGGGTGGGGATAGTGGTTGAGAAGGAATTGAAATCTGAGCTGGGACATAAGAAATTGTGCTATACTGAATAGTGTCACCTGCCCATTCATGTTTTCTCCAGGAACCTCAGAATATGATTTGGTTTTTGTTTTGTTTTGTTTTAAGAATCAGGGTCTTAGTGTGTTGCCCAGGCTGGTCTTGAATCCTGGCCTCAAGCAATCTTCCCATCTTGACCTCCCAAAGCGCAAGGATTACAGGCATGTGCCACCATGCCCTGCCAGAATATGATCTTATGTGCAAATAGGATCATTGTAGATGTAGTTAGTTAATGTGAGGTCATACTAGAGTGGGGTGGGCCCTTAACCCAATATGATTTGTGTCCTCACATGAAGGGGAGAAGAGACACAGCCATGCACAGAGGGAAGACAGTGAAAGCACAGACACACAGAGGGAGATGGCCATGTGACAACAGTAGCAGAGGCTGCAGCAATGCAGCTACAAGCCAGGGAACCCGGAGGATTGGTGGTGACCACCTGCAGCTGGAAGAGGCAAGGAGGATGCTCTCCCACAGCCTTCAGAGGGAGCGGGCCCCTGGCAAGACCTTGACTTCAGAGTTGGGCCTCCACAATGATGACAGAAGCCATTTCTGTTGTTTGAAGGCACCCAGTTGATGGCATTGGGTACAGCGTCCACAGAAGGCTGATGCAAGAGCGAAGAGTGTTACAGTAGAGGGAGGAGGCAGTGCAGATGCCTTCACGAGAAAGTTGCTAGGATTATTGGAGCAGCGACCAGGATGCCCAAAGGAGTGGGAGTCCCACAGGCAGGCAGGGATGATCCCAGAACAGGTTGGTGCCCAGCCACAGGGTCTTGTAGGCCATGGTGTTGATGTTCGTTTTATTCTAACAACATTGGGAAGTCATTGAAGGATTTTACAAGAAAGATGAAACATGATTTGAAGTTCATTTTTGAAAGATCGCATCAGCTGCTCTGTGAAGAGGAGTTTTGAAAGAGGCAAGAGAGGAGGCAGGACAACCACTGTGGCCGGCAGGTCCTCAAACGATTACGCAGAGTCCCCGCGTGACCCACAGTTCCACTCCTCTGTGTAGACCCACGAGAAACAAAAACATATGTTCATACAGAAACCTGTACAAAATGTTTAAAGCAGCATTATTTGTAATAGCCCAAAGATAGAAACTACATAAATGTCCACCAATGAATCCATACAATGAGGTAGTATTTGACCATAAAAAGGAATGAAGTGCCGATAGGACAGCATGAATGAACGCTGGAACCATCATGATAAGTGAAGGAAGCCATTCACAAAAGACCACGGATTGTATGATTCCGTTTAGACAAAATGCCCAGAGGAGGCAAATCTCTGGAGACAGAAAGTAGATGACTAGTTGCTTATGGCTGCAGGGGTGAGCGCTGGGGAGGGGAGATAGCTGAAGGGGACAGAGCTTCTTTTTGAGGTGATACAAATGCTGTAAAATGGACCATAGTGACGACTGCATCTACATGGAATATACTAGCAACCATTGAATTGGATATTTTCTTTTAAAGTGAAAGCAAGCTTATTAGAGAAGTAAAGAAACAAAAGAATGGCCACTCCATAGACAGAGCAGCCTGAATTGTACACTTTGAGTGGCAGAATTATATAATACATAAATTCCATTTCAATAATGCTGTTTAAAAGAAAAAAAAAGGAGTGAAGGCTCAGAGGAGGCCACTGAGCACTCTGGTGGAAGAAAATGGTGACCTAGGCCAGGGCCACAGAAGGAAAGACAGCAAGAAGGGATGAAAACAGTGGATTGTGGAGGCCGAATAGACAACGGATGAATAGGTCAACACCTGCTGTCCATCCGTACAAGGGAATATTATTCAGCCATAAAAAGAAATGAACCTTGCTGCAACATGATGTTAAGTGAAATAAGCCAGACACAAAGGCCACATATGGAATGATGTCACTTACATGAGGTTTCTACAATAGGCAAATTCATAGAGACAGAAAGAATGGAGGTTACCAGGAACTGGGAGGAGAAAAGAATGGGACATTATTATCTCACAGTTCCAGAATTTGTTTGGGATGATTTAAAAAAACAAAAACAAACAAAAAAAAAAGCCCTGGAAATAGATCGTCAGGATGGTTGCACAATGTTTTGAATGTAAATGCCACTGAATTGTACACCTTAAAAGGGCTCAAATGGTAAATATTACGCTATGTATATTTTACCACGATGAAAATGAATGTACAAAAGTGAGAGAGGCGGTGAGTGTAGGCCACCCTTTTAAGAAGCGATGCCATGAAGGAGAGCCGAGAAAGAGAGATGGAAGTTAGGAAGTGGTTTTTCAAAGAGCAGGTGCACAGGAAAAGATTCATTCGTGCAGGAGAGAAAGGATGACGGAGGAGCAGGGTCCCTTGAAAGCCCACAGGCAGAAGACCCAGGGCAGAAGGGGAGGAGGTTGCCTTTGCGGGGGAACAGAGGAGCTGTGAATAGGCAGAGAAACAAGGGCGTGTCTTCTGTTTACTCAGCACAGGAAGAAGCAAGGCCACTGAGACCGACAAAGATGAGGAAGAACTGGCTCCTTTTTGAAATGCACAAGCCTGTTCTTATCTAAACACCCTTGAATAAGACAAACAAGAGTGCTACCCAAATAACAAAGGTGACTTTGGGCAGGAATGCCTGCCACCCTCTTAAGGGTTCTCTCTCCGCTACCCTAGCCTAGTCTGAAGACCTCGACCTCCAGCTTCTTTCTCAGCCCCTTTCTTGGCTGGATGAGGTTACTCACCCCGTTTGAAAGCTCCACTGGCATTTCTGGCCCAAGTTCCCTCACTCTTTTAAATGGTTCTCTAATTGCTTCATTTGCATAAGCTTGCTCTCCTGGGCATCTGAACAGCCCCCAGGGCAGGGCCTGACTGCAGAGCCGGCTTCCCTTATGCCAAGGCCCTCGTGCCTGCGTCCCTCCTAGCCTTCAGCAATGAGGTTGCCTGGCCCGCAGTGGGGGTTGCCTGGGTCTTGGGGATGTTTTCTCCCCGCCACCCACCTGGCCCTGCCAGTGAAGGGCCCCAGCTGACCCTATCTCTCTTGTTTCCTCTTTTCCTGGATCAGACCCAGCTGGAGGTCCGCAAATTCTGAAGCAGTTCTCAACCCTGGGTGCACATTTTAATCATGTTTTACAAAATACGCATGCCTGATGCCCAGCCCAGACACTGGTCTGCTTGGTGAGGCCCTGGAATGGATGCGTTTAGATCTCCCATGAGACTCTGATGTGCTACAGGGTAGCAACCTCTGCTCTAAAGCAGGTGAGATTCCCCTGGGGACTTCATTAGAATCAGTGCCCAATTCCCCCACCCCACAGAGATTTCGCTTCTGGAAGTCCAGAGTCGAGGTCCAAGAATCTGTGCATTTTAACAATGCAGCCCCCCGGGGAGCCTGATGCAGGTCCCTTGGGAAGTTCAGGGCATGGTGCAGGGGCTCTCTCTCTCCTTCCCTCCCATCCGCATCAGCTGCCCAGGTAGGTGGTACTTTCTCTGGACAGGTCTGGAGTCAGGGCTGCAGGGCTTGTTTATGCCTCAAGGTAGGGGAGTGATGTGAGGTGTACACAGAGAGAAGCCCCTGTGAGGAACGGGGACCACTCCTGCTCACCCACATCACTGACAGCCCAGCCTGGGGCTAGCCCTGGAAGGCCAAAGAGTGAGTACGTCTGGGGGCTGGTGTTGGGTTGAGTTCAAGGGCATGGGGCTGGGGTCTCCATTCCAGATTCCTCCTCCCCTCTGTCACTTCAAGTACCATCAGAGCCACCCAGGGATTCTGTCCTGAGTCACTCTGAGGAAGAGCAGGAGAGGCTGTGCTGGGCCAGGAACACGGGGGCCTGAGCCCCTGACTCCTCCCCATTCCCTCAACTGCCCAGCTTCAAGGACTTGTCTAAACTACACGAGGCCAGGCCGGCGCTCCCAGCTTGGGCTGTCACCACAGGTCCCATATAGAAGGTGGAGAAGGGTGAGGATGGAAGTTTGGGGCAGGTGGTCCAGGAGAGGACAGTCCTGGGTGGAGTCTGGGTCTTGGGTGCTCTAGGCAGCTCATCACCTTGAGTGTCCAGACTGTCAAGTCCGAGAGAGACAGGCAAAACCCCTAAGTGGATAAGAGTTGGCAGGAACGAGGGCAGTGATTAAATCCACTTCAGATCATTTCTGTGGCTGTCTTGTCACCCAGCCCTGGCTGTGTGATTCAATAACAACTGACAGCAGGTGCAGTGAGCCAGGCTGGAAACTGCCACATCCATCCACCCTGCTCGGGGGCAGCTGCTCCCCCATCCGCAATTCACTTGTCCCAGAGGCCAGGACTGGGGCCAGGACACTGACTAGACACCCAGACCTCCTGGCCTCTAAGAGCCACTCATGGGAGTCATCTATGACATCTGGGGAACCTCCTTGACTTCAGAGGAGGATATTGGAGCCCAAGCTAATTGATGGGTAAGCCAGGACCTGAACACAGTCCCCTGACCCCAACACCTGTGTGCACCTCTGTGTTCAAGCTGCATCCTCCCCTCAGAAGGAGACACAGTCCTAGAGAAAGTCAGACTGCTTGGATTTGAATCCAGGCTCTGCTTCAGGCCAGCTGTGTGACTCTGGACCTGTGTCTCAACTTCTCTGTGCTCCAAGTGTCCTCTCTATTAATGTGGATGATAATAGTACCTACTTCTTAGGGTTACTGTGGCGATTAAATCTGGTAATTTCATTTTTTTCTTTCTTTTGAGTCAGAGTCTCACTCTGTTGCCCAGGCTGGAGTGCAGTGGTGTGATAGCTCACCACAACCTCTGCCTCCCAGGTTTAAGCAATTCTCCTGCCTCAGCCTCCTGAGTAGCAGGGATTACAGGTGCGCGCCATCATGCCCAGCTAATTTTTTTTCTATTTTTAGTAGAGACGGGGTTTCTCCGTGTTGGCCAGGCTGATTTTGAACTCCTAACTTCAAGTGATCTACCCATCTCCGTCTCCCAAAGTGCTAGGATTACAGGCATGATTTTTTTTTTACACCTATTTACATTAGTGCTTACCACATGTCAGATACTTTTCTAAGCACTTTATAAAAATTAAGCTATTGATAGTGACCCTGATGAGGTAGGTCCCACATTTTATACACAAGGAAACTAAGTCACAGAGAGATTAAAGTTATACAGTCAGTCAGTGGCAGAGTTGGAATTCAAGCTGGAGTCTGGTTCAAGGGTCCACCCATGCTCTTTGCTACTTACCATGCTGATGCCCACATGCATACCAGAAAGCAGTAGGTGCTTAAATGTTTACAGCACCGGTGATCACTGTTAGACCTGAGCTGCAGGAGTTGTGGCTGATGGTGGCTGCTCTGTGATCATTGTCTGGTGGGTGGGTTACCCCCACCCCCGGGCCTTCCTCCTGCTTTTTTTCCCCTCCACTCTTGCAAGGGAAGCTGAAGCTCTGGAAATCTACAGCTATCTGCTGTGGGGGCTGGCTGAGCAGGTGGCAGGGCCGTTCTCTCCTCTTCCACAGAGGATCTGATTCACGGTGGGCCCCTCATGGCTACTCCTGTCCTCCTTGGCTACCACTCACACCCCTGCAGCCCTCCCCCGGATCTTCTCAAAGGCATGTGAGATGGTTTGCAAAAACACCCTCAACCCCAAAGAATAATCTAACTGCAAAATGTTTAAGGCTGGGCACAGTGGCTCACACCTGTAATCCCAGCATTTTGGGAGGCTGAGGCAGGCAGATCACTTGAAGCCAGAAGTTCAAGACCAGCCTGGCCAACATGGCAAAACCCTGTCTCTACTAAAATACAAAAATTATCTGGGTGTGGTGGCAGGTGCCTGTAATCTCAGCTACTCCAAAGGCTGAGGCAGGAGAATTGCTTGAACCTGGGATGCAGAGTTGCAGTGAGCCAAAATCGCACCACTGCCCTCCAGCCTGGGTGACAGAGCAAGACTCCCTCTCAAAAATAAAAATAAAAATAAAATGCTTAAGAAAAATGAAACAAAACAAAAGCAGTATCATTGAAATAAATGGCAAGAGGCTGCTTATTGAGGGGGTGTGGGAGAGTCGGGGTGAGAACTGGAGCTGGAGGGAGAGAAGATCATCTCCAGGATCTGTTCCTCAGATGGAGCCCCGTGTGCACCCCTCTTTCCCAGAGCAGCCCTCTACAGATGAAGTGTCACAGGAAGCAGAAAACCACAGATTCAGCCCTGGGGGCTACCAGCCTGGGGAACTCAAGCTTCCTGCTCCTCCTCTTCATTACTGTGTGTTTGAAAAACCTCCTGGCATATTGACCCTCCCAAGAAGCAGTAGGACGGGGGAGGACTCAGGGCCTCCCAGACAGTCCACTGAGCCCTTCTCCTTTATTCCCTGGTGGTCAAAAGTGAGTTTTTTTTTTCCCTCCATGAAGGAAAGGTGAGCCTGCCACTTCAGATTCTCAGCAGACACTGCCCTCTCAGTGTTCTGGCCTGAACGCTCTTGGAGGAGCCGTGTATATCAGAATGACTGCAAGCCCGAGTACCGAGGACAGGGCACCCAGGGGACCCCAGGGGCCAGCAGAGGGCTCTTTCCAGCCTCCTGGGTGGGCATCCCGGCCAGTCCCACAGGCCCTTGTTTAATGGTCT